AACTCTTATCAACGCTGGAACTTGGCACCGGCTACAGCATAAGATATATCCATGGGCAGCAAAGATGACTTTTGTATGGACACAGGGCACCCAGCTCACAGTAATAGCATATGAGAGTGCGAGTCGGAGGCTAAACGGATGCTATCCTATAGGTCTACTACGAAGGATACAAAAAAGATGAAGGGGGAACCCCGTTGAGTCTGTTTCCTTAAGTACCCGAAACGGGCCCGACTCGGTTATCCCAACCCTAGCCCTGAACCTTCCACCGCAACAGGTCTGCATCGACCCTGAACCCTACACCCTTACCGTCCCCGACTATAGTGTAACTCGCTATGTGCTCCTCTGCTGGTTAGAAGCCACACCGAGTCGGATTTCATGCTTGTAGTGACCGTAACAGCTCTGAGGCAGGTTCTTCGCGTATCTAGGTGAGGCATCCTTACAACTTTAGCAATCGATGCTGCAGAGAAGAAGATTAAGAAGTATTATAACAAGCTATACACAAATACTGGATCTATCTTTGTTAAAGTGTGAGAGCTTCACACTAGGATCTTAAATCCTAGTGTGAAGCTCTCACACTTTAACAAAAAGGTTTGCGAGCTTGACTTTTCAATACAAAATTGGGAGACAGAGTTTGAACAACAGTTTAAGACTCTTTATAAAGAGCAGTACTCTACAGTGCAAGTTGCGAGTCAATTATGATTACGAGATGCAGATATGGATCCATTAGCCTCAGTGTTGCCAATAGTGTGGCTTGGCAGTATATTGCTAGGAAATTCCCATATTGTATTTCCACAATATGGCACTAATAAAGCTTGGCAATACAGTATAATATAAACAATATACACAATATAACCAATATGGACATCACGTGATAACAATAGTGTAGAATATCATGTGTTTAAGTTACCCCTATTGCTTTGATAGTACTACTTATTATAGTACTATTGTTTTGATAGTACTACTTATTGTAGTACTATCAACGCCTGTTATGATGTTAAGCTATAACCTCACTATTTTGCCCTTCCTTTCTTCTTTCTTCTTTCTTCTACATCGTTACTATATGCAAGATCAGTAAGTACGACATAGTACTATCTATAATACTATTAATTTACTATTTTATGTTATATACTAACTTGAAAATAGGCAAATATGGCACCACCATCAAAGTTTCCTGCTGTAATGGCACAACCACACATACTAGAAGGCCCTCCTGATATTTCTCTAGCCGACTTTCAACAATTCAAAGGCTCTAGAAAGAGTCAAGCTTTAGCTGAAATGGCTCATTCTCGCGCTGTTGTTGCCCTTGCTGCTTGCTCCTGCTGCATGAAAGGCACAGTAAAGCATGAGTTTGCTTGCTGCGCTATAAACACTACTGCCCACCCTGATGGCCGCTGCACCAACTGTGCCCACTTTACGGGTACAGGGTCATGCTCTTTCCTTGGCGCTGCTGATTCTGGTGTTGCTGCTGGTCGTCCTCCTCCTGCTGCACCCCATCTTGTCGTCTCTGCCCCCCGTCCTGTTGGTGCTGCTGCACCCCGCCTTGTTGTCTCTGCGCCCCGCCTCATCATTTCTGCACCCCGCCTCGTCATCTCTGCGCCCTGCCTTGTTGTCTCTGCGCCCCGCCCTGTTGGTGCTGCCTCGCCAGCATGGGGCCCAGCGAGTTTAGAAGCGAAAGATGGGGGAAATGAGGGAGATGAGGGGGATGAGGGGGATTGGGGGGAGAAGGAGGTAGAGATGGTTGGAGCTAGTGGTGAGAGATGGGCAGTTTTGGGTCTCACTTACCGTGAGACGGATGAGTGGCTTTGGGCTGGGCGTCGCCGCCTCTTTGCTCGGGAGATTGCCCTAGTCCTTCGGATTAGGCGTGATATTCTTGGCACTGACGCTGGCTCATTAGATGCCTTGGCTGAGGCCCTTCGGAGTTATGAGAGAGAGTCCCGTGTTGGGGATCCTGACCTCCTCAAACCCATCCTTCCGAATGGGGATGATGATTTATTCATCATTCCTCAGAGGTCGGCTCCTCGTGCTTGTCAGAGTGTAGAGGGGGTAGATGAGGATCAGAGGTTGTTACGTAGAAGAAGTTTATAGTACTATAGTACTATTAAATGTCACAAACCTAGAGTGACGCTAGTGTAGTTGGTGTAGTTCGTGCAGTTCGTGCAGTTAGCATCACTTGACCTGGCAAATTGACTGTGATGCCTGTCTGTGCCATAATACTGTAGACAGTAAGGTATTATGCTGTAGTATACTATATATAATAATTTAGAAACTAATAGCATTAATAACGTACATGTATAACGAACCGGCCAAACTGTAAGGACACAGGGCACCCAGCTCACAGTAATAGCATATGAGAGTGCGAGTCGGAGGCTAAACGGATGCTATCCTATAGGTCTACTACGAAGGATACAAAAAAGATGATGGGGAACCCCCGTCAGTCAATTTTCTCAAGTATCTGAAACCCATCCGACTCGGTTCCGACTCGGTTAGGCCACCCAAATGATCACACGTGACCCCGCGGCTACCCGGAGTCTACTCCCTAGAATGAGAGACGAGAAGGCATCCTTACACAAACAAGCGAACCGGCCAATCCATTTTACACCTTAAATCACGAATTTCATAACTTAATATCTCAACAACCCTTCAATAATAAGTTATAAAAATATGTACTTAGCCTTTTATAAGCATTTAAAGTACTCTATTTGATTTTTAAAGCAATTAGTATTGTAGTTATTAAGATACTAAGAATTAGGTCAAAAGTGGGGGCTAAAACTCAATATCTTAATAACTACAATACTAATTGCTTTAAAAATCAAATAGAGTACTTTAAATGCTTATAAAAGGCTAAGTAGATATTTTTATAACTTATTATTGAAGGGTTGTTGAGATATTAAGTTATGAAATTCGTGATTTAAGGTGTAAAATGGATTGGCCGGTTCGCTTGTTTCGCCGGTTCGTTATACATGTACGTTATAGAATGAAATAGTAATAGTACTACTAATCATCATCAATCCAAGAATTAGTTGAAAGATTTAGCCATGACTTCAAACACTCTAAATACTCAATAGTATCAACCCCTAGTCGGTTCCTTCAATCTGTAATTGTGATCTTTGCCCCTGAGAATAAACGTTCAGGCTCAGCACTCATTGCAGGTATTGATAAGATATCAAGAGCCATCTTTTGGAGGTTTGGATATGCTATCCGCTGAGCACCTTCCATCCACCAACCCCGAGCATCACATTCAGGGGTAACTGGAGCTTGGCAGTATTTCAAATACTCATCTTGAATAGCTGGTTGATGGCGTTTTTGTGTAGCCCACTCCTCAAATGTGCTCTTCTTATTTTGAGGTTGAATTGCAGCTATAATTGATGGTTCAATTGTTGGCTTGTAATGCTCATCCCATAGTGATTAAACAGCTATCTTTTCTGTTGTTACCCAGTTAATAGGCCAATTCTCTTCGCAATACTTCCATTTTTGACTTGGAATGAGTATTCCAGCAGCAATATATGCAGAAGACCTATAAAGTGTTAGTACTATAGACTATTGATAGTACTATAGATAGTACTATAGATATGTAACGCTGACTTCTAAACGATAGAAGACACAGAGGTTCTCTTGCGTAAAGGTTTACTTATCAGAGGAGGCAGGGGATCAGACACAAAGGCTTCAAGTAACACGTTACTAGTATATAACAAATACTGTATTGAGTTGAGCACGAAGCTCCTATCTAAGGAAATACTATCTACTTATATAGTGGCGTCGTGCCTAGTGGACTCTTGGGAACTCACTTGAGTCCTCGGAGTCCTGGACTCTTAGGACTCTTCTCATCATCCTGCGAGTCCGTCACGTGCCTAGTGGACTCCTGGGAACTCACTCGAGTCCTCGGAGTCCTGGACTCTTAGGACTCTTCTCATCATCCTGCGAGTCCGTCACGTGATACTTTCGGAACTACTATTCCCCGCTGCCCCTCCAGGTACCAGGGCCGGTCTCATGCGACCTCCCTCCTTCCTGTCCTGTAGTTGGCCAGCCTTCTTGTTCCGTCGTAACAAGATAGTACTATTACATACCGCTCAGTTAGTGCATAATACTTGTCTATAACCTTCCAAGCTGAGTTGAAACATGGACTAAGTATTATATCGTCTTGAAATTGTTGTTTGCCTTTCTCTAATTGCTCGAGAAGGAATTCCATAGATAATAATACCCGTTCTAGTGTAGCTTCTCGGCCTTCTGTAGCTAACGTCGCTTCATGAAAGAACTGGAGGCAGTCATGGATGTGTGATAGTATTATCCAATCACTCTCTGTCAATTCGTCATATCATATTGCCAAGACTCATATTGCGATATATATCACAATATACTGCCAAGAACCAATATACTACTGGCAACACTGATTAGCCTTAGTATTGCAGCAAAGTCAGACATTAAATGGGACTCAGGACCAGAGAGAGGAATATGTGAATGAGGCTGATCTCTATCTTGATGCTCGTAAGTTTCTGGTAATCTTCTAGTAATCTTATTCTAACTTGTATAGCACATATCTACACAAAGATATTGCTATTTTGGCAACAAAAGGAAGAGCAATTTTCTGGTCTATTAGCAATGGCTCATGATATACTTTGTATTCCTACTGCTAAGTCTGGAGTTGAGTGAGTCTTTAGTGCTGCAAGGGACGTATGTGGCCACCGACATGGTCAACTTAATCCTGAGACGATTAAGAGTATTATGCTTGTATATTACTCTCGACAATACAAGAATCATTAATGTCATTGTGACAAGCTTGCAGATATGATGGATGTCGTTGATATGACTGAGGAGCAAGTAGAAGAAGAGTATGAGGCACAACAACAACAGATGTGCAATTCTATCGAGTTACAATTGAAGAAGACCTACGATCAAATACACATATCCGAGAGACATATTCAAAGGTACAATATCCTCCATTTATCCCTTAGCAACCACAGCAACAGCAAGACTTATCACAAGCCGCACATGAAGAACAACAAATGCGCTACCAACAAGGTGAAGAAAGAGATAGGGCTGACCATCTTAACGAGACCTTATATGACATCCTAGATGACGATATCCTAGATAACGAAGATATAAGAGAAGATGGTAATAATGAGGAGCCTATACTTCCAACTATTCATGAAGATGAAGATAAGGATATGCCGTCCTCGCCACCAATGCCTATCCAACACGCTCGGAAGACTGGAAGAGATTTACTTGATATCTTTCAAGCTACTCGTCAAGACCCCATAAATACTTTAGATATTAGTAGGTCTGGCCGGCCTCATCAAGCAAGGTGGAGAGATGTTCTTAAGCATATATAATAGATAATAGCGTTCTGATAATCTTCTGATAATCGTGGTACTTAGATAGAGGAATATACATGATTCGTTCTCACAGCTTACTAGAGATGGCGAGAGTGATGCTGATAGATGTAATACTTTAACTTAACCATAAAACAGTATTAATCGTATGAGGGACTGTTCACATGATGCATAAATCTTACACGTGATAGCCGAGTACTCACTGGGTTTTTACAGAGTAACTGAGTATTGACCTCACTCACCGAGTCGAGTAAAAGGTTCAGCTACTCACCCAGCTGAGTAACCCACTGAGCGAGTGAGCCGAGTATTGAGCGAGTAGTGCGCAGCCTAGTCACTATGATCATCCAGCCTCGATGGGTAGACATCGACGTCCGACACTATCCCCCGTAAACCAATTCAGCACCTATCTTGCATTCAGCAAGCGCACCCCCGGCAACATGTTGCCGATGACAATGTAAGGATAGAATATGAGACAACAAATGGTGGTATTACAAGGCTTAACCGCCAATGAGCCCATGTTGCGTCCCTGATTCTAGATCAGGGAGATCGGATCGGGCATTGATCTTAGTTTTTCCGACTTTGTACGGTTAGCGGCAGCCCTTAGCGCTGTGATGAGTTTAAAAACTCTCGGGGTTGTTTGGGCCATGTTCCGTCCATCGGTCTCTCATAGTTAGTGATCTGCTTCTCATTTTATAATGAGGACCTGAATAGTGTCTACTATTCTTGAGCTTAGTCTGAATGGTTCGGTCTATTTCCAAAGTGCTGCTCGTGGCTGAGCTGAAAATTCACAATAGAGAATGATAATGGTTAATGAGTGGCCATGCTTTCATATAATGATCGGCAATTAAGATTCACTGACTCAGTCATAGTTTCAATATATTCCCATATTTTTCACTCGTAGGTACTGTCGTATTGGTAACCATTTACGGTTTTATTCTATTCTCTGTGATCGTTGATGACAGGCAAAATGATCAACTCTCTCCTAATGAAAAACCAATATTCTCTATTTCATATGACTTCATACGAAGTGTTTCGGATATAAAATGAACAAAAGACTCTACTGACTTTGTTTCTGCCCAAAGATTTCGTTCTCTAAAACCTGTAAGGTGTGTCAAAGCCGTTGACATTCATGAATTAATGTAGCCTTTCAGAGACAGGCAGCAATCATGCGTCTCACCAATTATGCGACCTCTCTGGCCTTGCTGGGAGGCACTGTGGCTAACTTTGGATAAGGTAGGGGCCAGTTGGGTGACCACCGATTCTACCTCCCGCAGTTCGTACCTCCCTCGGTACCTCCCGGTACAGGTGTCTGCAAGGCCACAACAAGCCACAGGCTTACCTCGCAGTCTATAAAATATATATAACTAAAAAGCTAGCGACACTTAATTCGCCTTCCACTGACCTGAGTGCGGATGCTGAACACTTGGAGAAGAGCCTTCAAGCTAGCCAACCAAAACCACTAACCCACGAGAACCTATAAAGAGTGGCCAGAATAGAGTAGACAGAAGCTATAAACAGCTTACGCAAGGGCTTAAGGAGGCAAGAATTCACTTCAGAAATGTATTGTTAGATTAGTCATAGTTGCCCTATCGGGTTCACCGCCGGGCGTAAATAAATTGCGTGTGTACTGCTCTCAAGTGCTATCCAATATGTACAGCTCATGCAAGCTGAAACTTGGAAGAAATAGAATACAAAATTTATTCAAATAATCACGACGGTCACTGGCGATCTATTGGACCATATCCCTTCCCATGGGGCTAGAGATCATGGTATCCATTTTAAATGTTCAATATATTAATTTATGGTTCACTGCGGAGTAATTTCCGATGAACTGAAGAAGAAATATAGAAAAGAAAGGATATAGTGGATGTACGCCCGGGAATAACATACATAGCCCCCATATGTATATCAATGTTATGCAAGGTTTATAATACTGAATATGAGGTAGCATTCAAATATTGATTTGGAATCTAGGGAGGAGAGATTGGTCCAGGGCCGACTACTTAAAAGTTATATATACTTTCTCCTCGTCCCTTTACTCAACCTTGGACCATCCACAGCTTCATACCGCTATTCTCTCGCCTTTTATATCGCAATCGAAGGTGTTTCACACGATTTCACCATCTCATTCTCCTTCACTCTCTTTTCCTCTTTCACCATGAAAAGCTTTTCAGCAGCTTTACTGCTGCTTACCCTCTCCCTCCAATCGATAACAACACTCGTGCTTGCCGTTCCGTCGCCTCAAGGAAGCATATCGCCTCGAGGGGGAGGAGAAAAATGCAGTTTCTTTAAGCAGACTGGCTGCCCTGATACGAAGTTTTGCTTGTACGATAATAAATGCGTTTCAAAACGTTCAGCAACGTCATTTTGCTTATTGGACGTCCACTGCTTATCTGGGCTCTGTGATAGAACTGGAGCATATCCAGCATGTGCGCAGCAATGTTCTGAGCAGTCTCAGTGTCCGTCGGGCTCAACTTGCAAACACTCTGCCTGTGTTAAGCCCAACCAGCTGATCGGCACCAAATGCGACGAGAACGAAGAGTGTCAATCGAAGACTTGCTTTGATTCGAAATGTCAGGCACCAAATGCAAAAAAGGTGGGAGATGCTTGCGATGAGAAAGATTCCAACGATTTCTGTCAGCTGGGTTCTATGTGTTGGAAGGGTTCATGTAGCACCCGTGGCTATAAATCCGACGGAACCCTCGGTGGGAAATGCTTTGTCAATGGTGAATATCAATGTTTCCCCAATACTGCCTATTGCGATCTCTCTGCGGGGCTTACATGCCAGCCTAAAAAGTCTGCAGCAGCGCCATGTGGGCAGAAGGTCCTTGGGGTGAATATTCCCTTAAGAGACCAATGCTTTTCTGATCGGTGCGTCGAGGACGGGTTTTGCGGGACGAAAGACCCTGGGGGCGAGGGTGAGCCATGTTCGACAAATGAGAAAGTGTGCCGGGAAGACTACGAATGCAGAGCTGGTCCATACGACGGAATCAACGGCCCTAAGAAGACATGCCAGACCAATGGACTTGAGGGCACGCCTTGAAAGAAAGATGGTGGGTGCATAGGCGACTTACTCTGCTACCGTGGGAGTGGTGATCCAGGCACGTGCTTGAGATGGGGAAGTTTCCAGGGCAAGCCTTGCAAGTCAGAAGATCAATGTGCTGGAGGGGCAGACCGAGATACAGTCTGGACAAACTTTGGAGCTTACGACGGAGTGGATGGTGGATGGGGAACCAGGAAAACTGAGATTGGGTATCTTTGCTCCAGTTCAAAGTGCAAATTCGTGCACAACGTCGTCGATGATACCAAGCCGATCAAAAAGGATTAAACGACTTCTGGACTCGATCTATCCGGACAGTTCTGTCATCACATACTGATTCGTTTCTTCCTGCGTCCATTGCAGCTTCTGCATTACATCTTTTAATATACATTCATTACTATCTCGATATGGATACATCCATGGTATTTGTTTCTTCCAAGGTTCCGAAATCACAGTTTAGACCCAGTGCCACCCAACAAGGCCCCAGCACTCGACATTGTTTGTTTTCGCCGCTTTCTAATGCCTACCTACCCAATAAACTATAATAATTGCTCGCCATCTATCTTATTGAATGATATCTTCAGGGATATCGACTGACCTCGTGAATTGCTCGACCTTCGGAGGTATATCTATCTCGTGCTGCCATTCATGTGACCAGGGTAATGACGTCGCTCAACCTTGCAGGTACTCGGTGGCGAAAGCGAGTTGGGTATGCGAAAGCGAGTTTGGGTATGCATCAATACGATGTACATATATATGAATCAACGAGGTAATAGCTTAGTATTGATAGATAATGTAACACATAGTCACTGGAGGTCATTGGAAGTGTTGGTGGTAGACAAGTTGTTGATTAGTTGAAGTATATAGGTTACAACTACTCGGTGTTCCACCCACTCGCTTCGCTCGTAGGTGGCGACAGCAAGTTGTGCGTGCGACAGCAAGATGTGCGTACACCGCTATTTTGATATATAGAAAAAATAATAGTATTCTTCATAACGTAGTATCTACAATGCCTCAAAATAACGATCCTACTATGATTGCTCGCCTTAATGAGGCCCAACAGTTCTTCTTAAAACAACCAAGTACATATACAATTGCTTGGGTTGCAAATAAATTCAATGTCAACCGTGAGACACTCCGATGTCGTATTACGAGTACTACGTCTCCTCAATTACCCCACGGAGGTAGCAATCGAGTCTTATCTCAATCGCAAGAGACCGCGGTCTGTCAATTCATATACGACCAACTTGAGCGCGGGGTCCCTGCCAACCGATCTATGATACTACGGGCAGTTGCAGACTTACGACCTAATCGTACGATACCATCACAACGGTGGCTACAACGCTTTCTAAAAGCACACCCCGAATTTCATACAATTCACACGAAGACGTTAAATACACATCGGAAGCAAGCACAAAAGAAAGAGGTGTTTGAGGAATTCTTTCTCACATATAACGCCCTTATTACAAAACATAACATTAAGCCATATAATTTATGGAATGTTGATGAGACAGGCTATATGATTGGGTGTTATAAGTCTACGGCTGTTATTGTACCAATCGGTGTAAAGCAGTGGACTGTTGATAATCCTGAGAATCGGCTCTCTGTTACTGTAATTGAGGCAGTAAATGCAAGTGGTGCTGCACTTGCAGAAGCTATCATTATCCCTGGCAAACTTCATATGGATTCATGGTACAATGATGACCTTGAGCCAAATGCTCTCATTATTGTAAATGAGAGCGGGTATTCAAACGACGACATTGCAATCCAATACCTTATGCATTTTATCCAACTATCTGCAGAGCATATGGCACCAGATGATACTCGCCTCTTATTACTTGACGGCCATGACTCTCATAAAACAGAGCGCTTTCTTACATTAGCAGAAGAGCATAACATTGTTATTTGCTGCCTTCCTGCTCATACAACACATCTATTACAACCTCTTGATGTAGCGGTTTTTAAGCAGTGCAAACACTTTCATCAAAAGGCACTTGATCAAGCAGTACGTAGCTACGACTATGAGTATAAGCTACGTACGTTCCTTTCAGACCTCCCGCAAATCCGACGGCAATCTCTAACTGTCCGTACAATTCAATCTGGTTGGAGAAATACAGGACTATATCCATATAATCCTCCACTTGTAATTGACAAGATACAAGAGACTCGGAATCAAACACCTGATTATGAGCCATTTGCTTCATATAATATTATCTCAACACCGAAAACAACTATGCAAAGTGTGCAAGCGGTTGAACATTGGCAGAAGAGAGCAGAGGAAGCTTTCTCATCGCCTTCAAGAGAAGGGTTTCAATCATTTGCACGTGGAACTACAGTTGTTCTACACCGGGCAGAGCTCTATAAGACCGAGCTAGATATTATGACTCTACGTGCAGTAGAGCAGAAGGCAGCAAAGGC